CTAGGTTCCTGGGTTGTGGGTGCAGTTGCACCTGGAGAAGAAGAAAGCTGGAGGTTACACACTGATAGAAGAATCCTTTTTAAAAGGAGGAAAAGGTTTCATAGACAATTTCTCAGTGGGCTGGCCCTTCTCCCCTGCTCCCCTCCCACCCACACACTTTTCTAGCTCCCTTTTAAGCAACCAGGCCCAAAGACACTCTCTTTGGAAAGATTTTGATCTTGTCCAAGCAGTGCTCTGTCCTTGGTCCTGAAGCAAGCAGCATTCGCTCATTTCTTGGGACAAGGGACACGGGTTTACAATTCTGAATTAGATGAAGATTGTATTTTCTACTTTGAAAAATGCCAGTTCTGTTTCATTTTGTAACTTTCTACAGTGCTGGATGCATCCACTACCTGGGTGCTCTAGTCGTAGCCCCACCACACCCAACAAGCACCCACTACACTTGCTAGACCTCCAAATTCATGGCATCAGATGTTAAATGGGAGGCTAATGATAAGCAGATTCCTTGCCCTCCCAAGCTAAATTGCTTCATTCATGTATTTCTGAATTTGTATCATTTCCATCAATCACAAGACTATTTTTCATTTTGAAAATGGCAAGGAATTGTGCCCCTACCCACTCTCATCTCATCACGCAGTGTGAGAACTGTATGAACTGACAGTAATCCTTCCACGACCCATCTAGCCAGAAGGACCCAAGAATTCAGCATGACAGCAATGGTCTGCCCTGGCATCAGGGGGAGGGAAATTGAGTCCTCAGGGGTCTTTGTACTCCAGAGGTGATCCTAAGAGACAAGCGAAAGAGTGGCAACCAAACTTAACTTTTCTGAGTCCCTGCAAGTTGCAAATAGTTAACATGCTGCCAGTTGAAAGGTTGGAGTTTGTAGTCCACCAAGTGGTGATCGACTTCTGAAAAATCGGTCATTAAAAATCGCATGGAATGTAGTTCTACTCTTATACACAGGGTTGCCAGGAATCGGGGTTCACGCAACAGCAACTGGGTTGCTTTGGTGCTGTATCTCAGCACTAGGTAGGAAAGGGGGGAGAAAACACATACTGTTTTGTGAGCCTAGCTCTATGCCTCTATTTTCTCTTCCCCTACCCATTTATCCCAGTAGAAAACCTTCTGTTTCACATCATCAGTCACAGGGTGAGATCATTTCTGATCTGTTACATGAAGGAGGATGCAGGAAGTGGATTGGGGTTGATGTGATGTAAGTAACCTTTAGGCCAGTATTTGTTTCAGGCTGGGAGAGGACTGAGGGGAAGGCCTTCCCATTCTCCACCCATCTGAACATTGTGTTTCTTTCTCCTCCCAGTGGGGGTACAATGGGTGAAAGGTAGCACAGAAAACCAACCAGGACTGTGCAGAAGAGGGTTGTGGAGTTAGAGGGGCAATGGCAATAAAGTATCATCTCCATCCACAGGAGTTGGGACAGGTAGGGACCTACTCCTGTCTTCCTCTTCCTGTCCCCAACCCCCAGCTCACTAGCCCTGGGAGCAAATCCTGGCTGCATTATGAATTCACGCTGTGATGCTGAGCAAACCATTAAACTTTCGATCCTCCGTTTTCTCATCTGTAAAATGGATATGCTGATCTCTAACGTGCAGTGCAGTAGCAAAGTAAAACGTAGTAAAAGTACAGTACAAGGCATACGGGACATCTAGCCGCCAGACAACCCTTGCCGCTCCCATATCCCGCGGCGCTGTCCCCCAGCCCAGCATCCTCACCGGTTCTCGGCCACCAGGATCTGCTCCAGAAGGCGCGCGGCCTGCACGCGTGTTTCCAGCTCGGACTCCTGCAGCAGCCTCAGAAGCAAGTCGAGGCCTCCGTCCAGGCGGATAGCATCGCACAGACCCTGAGCCACCTCGCGGCCCACAGCCGGCAGCAGCCAAGCCTCTTCCACCAGCTGGAAGACCTCGGCCAGGCCCGCGCCCATAGCCCGCGCTCCACCTGCCTGCTTCAGCTCGGACAGCGCCTGCTGCAATTCAGGCAGCGCGCGCTCTAGGGCGCTCTGCACCTCGGCGCCCACCCCGGGCGATACCTCGCGGGGCCCACGACCGCCTGCGGCCCACCACGGGCCAGCACCACCACCTTTGTCCGGACCCGGCACCGACAGCCGCTCAGCTCCTGGCCGTGGGCCCGACATGGCGAAGAAGCGACACAGCTTGTAGGCGGAGAATAGTAGCGTCAGGACCATGGGCGCGGGGCTGCGGGGGACATCCCCAGTTTGGAGGGACGGGGTCAGACGGGACGACCCGGGACCACGGGGGGCAGGGCGACTGGAGAGCTGACAAGAGGAAGAAGACTCAGGAGCGAGAGATGGAGAGAAAGGCAAGGGCGCTGGCTAGAAGTTTGGGGGAGGGGTAAACACAGGATCTGGGTGGAGAGGCTGGGGAAGAGGTTGAAGGCCCAAATGCAAGAGGTGGGAGGGAAAAGGTAATCCGGAAGCGAAGGATGGACCTAAACGCTAGAGCGTCGAGGAAACTGCGGCTGAAACAAAGCGCTTCTCCAGCTTCACAGAGTTGCTCTGCGGAAGCCCCGCCTCTTGACTCGCAGGACACCTCCTCCATCGCCCGCTCAGTCACGTCCCTGTAGCCTGCCCCAGCCACCTCCATACCCCGGCCGGGCCTCCTCCCTCAACTGCATCCACGCTCCGCATACAGAATGCAGGGGGAGGGGATGGAAGGACGAGGACTGTCTGGTTTTCTGACGCTGAGACAACACCAATTAGTGTGCCTCTTCTCTTGTTAGCTTCCCTGGAGTCGCCCCCACTCATGATGACCCTGTGTGTTGCTACAAGGGTGACCCAAGTGGTTTGCAATCAGCTGCTAACCTAAAGTTGGCAATTCAAACCTACCCAGCGGCTCTGCATAAGAACAGTCTGGCAAACTGCCCCGGTAAGAATTAACCAAAACCTGTACCAGTGAGTAAATTCTAACTCATAGCGACCCTATAGCGTTTCGAATGCTGTACGTCTTTACAAAAACAGACTGCTGCATCTTTCTCTAGTGCGGTGATTGGTGAGTTTGAACTGCCAATCATTTGGTTAGTAGCTGACCAATGTGCTACCAGGGCACCCAAGGAAACCCTATGGAGCAATTCAACTCTGTAACACGTGGGTCCAAATAGATTACACAGTAACAATGGGTTTGGGGTTTGGGGGTAATCTTTAAGGAAGCAGTTTGCCATGCCTTTATTCTGTGGAGGTGCCCGGTGGGTTTAAACTGACAACCTTTAGGTTAGCAGCCAGTTGCAAAACCAAAACACCTCGGTACCTCTTCCCTTACTTCTTGTTACGTCAGAGGCTATAAGTCTTCATGGAGCAAGGAGTGGCTGGAGGGCTCAACTACTCAGTGTTTATCCTGCACAGCCATCACACTCCCCTTCCCTTACTTTGTTGTTATTGTTAAGTGCCATGGAGTTGGTTCCCACTCATAATGACCTTGTATAGGTTTCCCAAGGATCGGCTGGTGAGTTTGAACCATGAACCTTGCTGTGCAAATGACCTTGCAGTCCAGCGCATTAATCCACAGCGTCACACCAGGACTCCTTTCCCTTACTAGTGGTTTGAAAATCAACCCAGTTGCCTTGAGTGGAATCTGACTTATGGAGACCCCATGTGTTTCTGAATTGGGTCTTCAAGACTTTGATTTTTTGGAATCAGACTTCCAGGTTTTTCCTGAGGCACCTCTAGGTGGATTTGAATCGCTAACCTTTCAGTTGGTAGTCAAGCACTTTTTTGTCACCCATTACCTCCTATTAGTGGCTACAGCAATCATAATAATGACTCTGTACAACTCTCAAGGCCGTTCTAGTGTGGCGCTGTGGATTAATGCACCAGACTGCAAAGCCATTTGAACTACAAGGTTGGAGGTTTAAGCTCACCAGCTGCTCCTCGGAAACCCTATACAGGATCGCTATGGATCAGAATCGACTTGACAGCATTTCACAACAACAACATACCTATTAAGACTCATGACATCTCTGTGGGGCAGGGTTAATGTTCCCATTTTACAGCTGAAGCAACTGAAACTCATAGAGAAGACATTGCCCAAAGTCACACTCCTCTCTAATTACAGAACAGAAAAAGTCAGCTAGAAGCTGGCATCCTATGCCGGTGGGCATCTTCTGGGGATTATACTTCTCATGAGAATATAAAAATGTGATGGACTAGGCCACTCCCACTCTTTACAGATGGGGAGACTGAGCCTGGGAACATGCAATGGCCAGCCCGGGATTGGTGAATTCACGGAAGACTCGGAATCAAATCCTGTCCACATTATTCACTCAGTGCCCTGCTCTGTGAAGACCAGCTTGGGAAAATCAATGCATCCAAGAAATGAAACTTGGTTCTTTTGTGATTAAAACAACAGAAAGAAATTCCCTAGAGTGCTTACCATCTCTCCTTCCACTGCCCTAAATATACTAAATATACAAAAAAAAAAAAAAAAGGTGAGCCACCCACCTAGGGATGCACATGATCAAACAAATCATGGATCAATAACCATTTACAGAGAGAGAATGTGGGGCTAACCCAGACATTAGACACTGTCTGCTCTAGTTCCTGTGCTTTCCCAATACCTCATGAAGCAAGTATGATTAGTTCCATTTTACTGAAAAGAAAACCAAAGCTCAGAGAGGCAAAGCAATTTGACTAAGGTCATAATAAGTGTGGATCTTCTTTCTGACATCCAGATCCCCTGTGCTAGTCACCCTCCTGAAATGACCCTGAGCTTGGCAAGAATCTCATTTCCCAGCTCTCTCGGGCCCTGAGTTCCGGGAATGTGACACTTTGCAGCAACCTAGGGATTCTGGGCAGGTTACTGGGGGCTGGAGGTTGAGCAAACAGAATGGCAGAGAGGGCAGCCCTTTGGTCAGTCCCTCCCTCTTCCCCTCCCTCCCAGATTCCTCCTCTCATTCCCTTCTTCCTGAATCAAAGCTGAGACTTCAGGGAGCTCAGAGACCAGCTTCCCAGGCCTGTGGCTGGAGGCCCTGCCATGGCACCCCCCAGACCCCTTCTGATACTGGCCCTGCTGTCATGGGCTGTTCTGGCTGACCAAGGTGCAGGAGGATGATCATGACCATCTGGGTCAATGTGGGGTGGGCAAGGGTAACCTGGGCTTGGCCTTGCCAACTGACACCCCGTTCTCACAGAGTCCTGCAAGGACCGCTGCACTGAGGGCTTCAACGAGAACAGGAAGTGTCAGTGTGACGAGCTCTGCTCTTACTATCAAAGCTGCTGTGCTGACTACATGGCTGAGTGCAAGCCCCAAGGTGCGTCTAGAGGCAAGGTGGGTGGGCATGGAGTTGCCCCTGCAGCTGGAGACTCATACTACCGTCTCTGTCTGCAGTGACTCGGGGGGACGTATTTACTCAGCCAGAAGATGACTATGGAATCTATGAGTACCATGAGGTGACCAAAGACAACACCAGTGTCCACATACAACCTGAGAGCCCCACTCAGAGCCCTGGGCTGCTCGATTACACAGAGGGTCTTGAATCTGAGCAGGCGTTTCTAAAGCCGGAGGAAGGGACCTCAAGTCCTGAGGCAGTGACTTTAGAGAGATGGACCAGCAACCCAGAGATCTCTGAGTCCCCAGCAACGGAGGAGCTCTGCAGTGAGATGCCTTTTGATGCCTTCACAGACCTCAAGAATGGTTCCCTCTTTGCCTTCCGAGGTGATTTTGAGGGCAGTTCTTGGGGGTAGGGGTGTGCTCCAGGAGTGTCCCCTCTCACAGAGCCTCCCCACCTCCAGGGCAGTACTGCTATGAGCTTGATGAAAATGCAGTGAGGCCTGGCTACCCCAAGCTCATCCAAGACGTCTGGGGCATTGAGGGTCCCATTGATGCTGCCTTCACTCGCATCAACTGTCAGGGGAAGACCTATTTCTTCAAGGTGCCAGACTAGAGCCTGTGAGATCAGGGTAGAGGACTTCTAGGGAAGGGTCCAGAACTATTGTGTCCAGGGCCAGGGTAGGCAGGAATGCTGGTTGGATTCCGGGTCCTGTGGGTAACTGGCTGGGGCTCTGTGAGGATAGACAGGACAGTCTGGGGTTCTTGGTTCTGGTCAGCAAGCCTAGAGTTGGGGATAGCTGTCTAGCCAGCTGCCTCCTCATCCTTCTCCACCTTCACTACCCCTTAGGGTAGCCAGTACTGGCGCTTTGAGGATGGTGTTCTGGACCCTGACTACCCTCGCAACATCTCTGAAGGCTTCATGGGCATCCCAGACAACTTGGACGCAGCCTTCGCCCTCCCTGCCCATAGCTACAGTGGCCGGGAGCGGGCCTACTTCTTCAAGGGTACTCAGGGAGAGGGTGGGGAAATGATCAGGCAATGGAGTAAACTTGGGTTTCCTCTGCACTTCGCTGAGGTTCTGTCAGGAGTTCCAGTCCCACTCATGCCACCCTCCCTGCTTCCCAGGGAGACAGTACTGGGAGTACGAGTTCCAGCAGCAGCCCAGCCAGAAGGAGTGTGACAGCAGCTCTACGTCGCTTGTGTTTGAGCACTTTGCCCAAATGTATCGGGAGAGCTGGGAGAACATCTTTGAGCTTCTCTTCTGGGGCAGATCGTTTGGTACCTCAGGAGAATTTGGGTCCCCTGGGTAGGGAAGTGTTGGGCCAAGGGGGCTGTGGTTGTGGAGCTATTGATCAAGAGCTGTTTGTTCAGCCCAGACTTTGCTTCTGTTGACCTTTGGGGAGTGACTTGGCTCAATCTGGACCCCAAACTTTGAACTTTGTCTAGCAGTTATGGACACAGCCAACAGAAGTTAGCGTGCTACTAGGAAGGTCTGGAGAGTGGGAAGAGGCAGACACGTAGGGAAATGATGGAAGGAGGCTGGGGAAAGGCCATGGACTAAAAGTTGGAGGCCTGGGTGCTGGGCTCGGCCACTAGCAGATAAGGCACAGCTCAGCTCCCCGGCCTCTATTAACTCCTTCCCTGTCACAGGTGGTGCCAGCAAACCCGGCTTCATCAGTTCCGACTGGCCTGGGGTGCCAGGGAATGTGGATGCCGCCATGGCTGGTCGCATCTACATCTCAGGCTTCGCCCCTCGCTCTTCTGGGACCAAAAAGCTAAAGTCTACACATCGCAACCGCAAACGCTACCGGTCTAGGTCTCGTGGTGGTCGTAGTCGAGGCCACAAGTCACGCCGGCTATCCCGGTCACCTTGGCTGTCTTGGTTCTCCAGTGAGGAGACTGGGCTAGGAATGCACTATGATTACGACCTGGACTGGCTGGTGCCTGCCTCCTGCGAGCCCATCCAGAGCGTCTACTTCTTCTCGGGAGGTGGGAGCCCCTGCCATTCCTGTAGCTGGTCTAGCCCCTGAGCGTGACCCCAGAAAGCCAGGCCCCAAGTCTTTGACTACGCCATGTCTCTTCACTTATCCTTCCAGGAGACACCTGGGTCTTCTCTCTCCTGGCAGGAGCGGGCTTGACAAGGTCTCACACACCTTCTCACATCCTCTCTTCCAGACAAATACTACAGAGTCAACCTTCGCACGCAGAAAGTGGACACCGTCAACCCTCCCTACCCACGCTCCATCGCCCAATACTGGCTGGGCTGCCCAGTTCCTGGTCGCTCATAGGAGCCCCAGTCTACATAGCTAAGCCCTCCATAGTACTCTCCTCCCGCTTCAATAAAGCTTCCTTGATCCTGAGTTTCAGACTGCTGTCCTGACTGGGGTGGGCAGTCTGGTAAGGGAAGGGAAGCTGAGTTGTCATGGTGGGCTGGGGGCCTTTCTATGTGTCCAGCCCATGCTAGCTCAGGCCAGCTCATGAACCCAAGAAGTGGTGAGCTGGGGAGGATTCTCTGAGAGCCAGCCCTTCTCCTGTGCTAAGCAGCAACACCAGAAACTCGGCAGATACTTGAACACCTCTTGTGATGGCCAGAAGTTCAGGCTGCCGCTCCCAGCCCTGGGTGTTTGTTTGCCCCCTGCAAGTTGACTAGGGTCTTGAAGAAGAGAGAAGAGGCAGGAGTTCTGGTTTTTGTTTTTGGCTTTTCCTGAACCTGGAATCCAGAAAGCTAAGACTCCTGAGCTCCTAGTCACTGTTCTCCCTCAAACCCATCCCTTTTGTTCTTTGATGTCTGTCTTGAGTCTTGGATGGCGAGACAGTAAGGTTAGAGGAAAGAAGCCAGACAGTCTCCTCCCTGTGGAAGCCTTCAGCCTCCATCCTGCCTTCAGCAGACCCTGAAGCCCCTGCCCCTCCTTTCCATCCCTCAACAAACTTCCCCTCCGGTCACCAACTCTGTCTGGCGACGGAGCTAGTAAAAGAAGAAGAGCCAGTGAGCCATGCCAGGACTGTGCCCACACCATACACCTCAGTTCAGGTTTTTATCTTGCCACGCCTCTGAGGGAGGGGTTTACAACCCAAGGGGGTGGAGTGGGGCAGTATTGAGGCTTATAAATTGAGGAAGTGAACTTCAAATGTAGCCCTTCTCTTAGAAAGGTGGCCTGGGGGACTTGGAGGGAAAAGAGCATTGTAAAAACATAAACCTTACTTAAAAACCACCCATTGCACCTGAGGAAGCATAAGGCTAATGCAGGGAGGTGACTGCCTGGCTTGACTGCCACTGGCCCCCAGGTCGTGCCCAGGGACTGGATCGCCACCAGAAGAAGAGGACCACCTTTAGCAGAGGGCAGTTGCTGGAGCTGGAGGGTGAGCTTGCAGCTGCCTTATCCTGACATCAGTTCTTCTGATTACCTGTCTCCCTAAGGCCAAGATCCAGGGCAACTGTGACCTCATCTCAGGCCAGGGGTACCCACTTGCACATCCAGCTTTTGAGTTTAACCCTGGACCCTTCTCTTTGAATATATGGCCTCTAAGTTATACTCCTTCTGTTGTTGGGAGAGTGAATGCTGGACTCAGAATAGACTCCCTCTTCTTCCCTGCCAGGTGTCGTTCCAGAACCAGTGGGCCAAGAGAATAAAAAACAGGAGCCGAAAAGGCCTAAAACCGAGTGAGCCTGCCCCTGAATTCTCATTCTCTTCTCCCACACAACCTCCAGCAGCCCTGAGAGCCCCACAGACTGAGCCAGAATGACTGACTGGTGCTTCAGGGGCCCACATGTCTTCAGAGCATGCAACAACCCAGACCTCACTGGGCAGCCTGTCTGACCTCATCTAGGCCTCGGCTGTTGTCACCAACCTGGACCACTTCTAATCTGGGCTTGCAAGACCCCTCTAACTTCTCTAGCCCACTTTAGGCCACCCCTTCCAGGACTGAGAAAAGTAGATCCCCTTCTCCTTCCTTTAACAGGTGGAGACTACCACAGATGTGGGGTGGGGGTGGGTGCAGCAGAGATGGGTTCTGGTATCACGGTCATCTGTAAGACCAACTAATCTCCAAATAAAACCCCAAATCTTAATCTGGATTGTTGTGTGATGCAAATAAATGGCGAGGGGAGCCTTTTGCTTTAGAGATTGATCTCTATCACCTAATCACTAAATAGGACTGAGTTCCACACAGATCCTAGGTGGAGACCTTCTGCTGGGCTTAGAAGGCAAGTTACTTGGTGGGCTTGGGGCTCTGGCTGACAGATCCTGGGGCAATGGGAGCGTCTGCTAATACATCTGTTCTCAATCCCTCTGGTTCCCCAGCACTGCAGCTGCCTCCACTCTAGAGCGGCTCTGCTATGTAAGCCTGGCAAGTCTCTCAAACAAGCTTGAAAAACAAGGATGTTAATACTTGTCTCCTCTCCGTTTGTGGAACGAGATGGTGTAAGTACAGTGTTCACAGGGTGTGGAGCACACAATCTTAACATTAGTTTCCTTTCTGTACAGCACGCCAGGAGAAAGTGGGCTGGTCCTCTCCCTGGGAGAAACTACGGTGTAGTGAGGCAGGGTGGCTGAGAAGACAGAGCACCTTTCTCCGTGATGGGAACAATGAGATCCCAGTTCAAACTCAGTCTTTGCAGAGAAGGTCTCTAGCACCATAGCCTTTTCCTCCTCATTAAGCAGGGGCTAGAGCTTTTCTCCCTCTGTCCCCAGAAGCTAGCACAGTGCCTAGCTGTAGAGACCTCAGGGGGTGCTCAGTGCTGCTGGCTTGTAGGTCACGCAGAGCTACAGCCACAAGTAGTCCTGCCCTCAAAGATATGAGGTCTGCTCTCTAAGATTTCTTCCAAGGGAAACCCAGGACATTGGAGGAATGTAAAACCACACTGTGCAGGTCCAGGTAAGCAGTCATGAATCTCACAAACCTTGAATGTTTAACTCAGTTGAAACCACTGCAGGTTACTTGAAACTCTAATACGCTGCCTCAATTTTCTTCTCACAGCTGACATCTCTTTAACCTATAGAAACCCTAAGATTTCTCAACAAAGTGATCTATGTGGAATTTTTGTTAAGTGCCACTGAGTTGGTTTTGACTCATAATGATGCTGCATAGGATTTGAGGAGTGGCTGGTAATTTTGAACCATCCAACCTTGCGGTCCACTGCTTATCCCACAGCGCCACACCAGGACTCCTATAGTGGAATGTTATGTGCCCTGGAGTTGGTTCTGACTCATAGCGACCCTGTACAGGGTTTACGAGGCTGTAAATCTTTACAGGAGCAGAAAGCCTCATCTTTCTCCCACTGAACAGCTGGTAGTTTCAAACTGCTGACCCTGAGGTTAGCAACCCAATTTGTAACTACTATGCTACCTGAGCGCCATCTATAATGGAATAGAAGGGAATAAACTTTGCCTTCCTTTTAGGTATAGTACTGCTCTGAAGGCTCCAACTTACTATGTATCAAGAAGAAACTGGCAAGCACTATAGAGTAAATGTCTAGTGACCTACTGGGTGCATAACTGAAAAAGTGTTTGGGGTGGGGTGGGGTGGGGGAGCAAAGACCACAGGAGTTCATACTGTGAACAAACAGATAAGGTATACCATTAGGACTGTGGAGGCTTGTGTGTTGCTGTGATGCTGAGGGCTATATCACTGTTACTTTACATACCAGCAGGGTCACTCATGGTGGAGAGCTTTCAGCAGTTTCCAGACAAAGACAGACAAGAAAGAAAGGCCTGGTGATCTGCTTCTGAAAATTAGTTAATAAAATGCTATGGATCACATCAGGTTGGGAGGCACTCAAAATACAAAGTGGCAGCAGCAGTAGACTCAACATACCAATGATCACAACGCTGCCACAGGACTGGGCAAGGCTTTGTTCTGTGTACAAAGTCAGCATGCGTGAGAGCTAACTCGATGGCAACTTACAAGCACTGGGAGTGGGGCTCTGAAGATCTTTGTGCCATTTGCTGTAGGATTTGAAATAAGAAAACACTGGGTACAATAAATATTTATTGGACAGATAACTAATACTAATAACCTTTTAAGTGCCTTTTACAGATTCTGTCATTACAAAACTAACGTTAAGTTCTTACAAGTACAACGTTACAGAGACTTCAGGACAACCTAGGAGTCTATCAGATGAAGGACCACAAACCAGTCATTTTATGTCTCTCAGCCTTTTCTTTTCTTCTGGAAAAGGAGCCCAAATAACTTCTTTGTGAAGAACAAAGGCAACCAGGTCACAGTCAACTGTGAACATTTCTTGGAATTTTTTATATTCACCAAAACATGTTTAAGAACCCACATAAGATATCCTACATTAGACTTATATATAACAGTATGTATACTCAGAGTCACATATGTAGTGAAATCTGAAAATAGTCCATGTCTACAGATAACAGCTCTCTTTATTAGTTGAGACAATCTCCCCACCCCACACACAAACACAAAAAATTTTGCAACTTAAACAGACAAAAACAGTTTTGCCATTTGGATTGTTTTTTTCAATTTTGGAGGCAGAACAAAGGATAATGGGAAGGAATGTTGGTGAATGGTAGGAAATCAGACACAGGCAAGCAGAAGGAAGAGAAAGAGAATGAAGATCAACGTGACAATCCTGAAAGGTAGCTGCCTTGATTCCAGTCTCACAACCTATACCAACTGCTCTTTCTCTTGTTCAGTGTCCTCCGGTCAGTCCCTCTTTCAGCACAAACCGGAGAAAGAAGATTCTGTTTTCTTGGGACCTTTTGATCTGTATTCCACGTCTATATCATGGCACATGTACAAAGGAAGACAACAGATTTGTGCACTTGGGCAAGTTCAAGGCAGTATGGCCTACTTCTGGGAAGGCCTGGATCCCACCTTGGCAGTGCTCAGAATGGACTGGAAAAGGCAGATGGAGCAGCAGATTCTTTGAGTTTATAGATGTGTAGCCTGAGTCCCTTTCACTTTTCCCTCTGGAAATTCATGGGGCTAGACTCCACATAAGAATAGCAGCCCTCTGATTTACGGGAGTTTAGAACAAAGAGCCTAATGGGCTGACACAGTCAGTGATAGGTAGCTGGGAGCACAAAGCTTCCCCATACCTTTTCGAGACTTTGACGATGAAACACCAGTTACAGCTCTCCCAACTCGCCTTCCATAGCCCGTACCATGACATACAGCTCAGCCAGACCCACCACAGAGGCGACGATCAATGCAGCCAGCACCCGCTGGGAAGGAAGGAAGACCAGACTTAGGGGATATAGGCTTGTACTCAACTCTGCTGGCCTAACACCTTTATCAAGGATGGAGAACCCCCTGACCCAGTCCGTCAGTTTGGGAGGGAGAAGACAGAATCTGGCTTTTCTTGGGGTTATAATCCACCCCCATGAATGTTAGGAAGCATACATGCTCCTTAGTTAATTTCATAAATGTTTATTCAATTTCTGACCTATGTAAGGCATACCCCCTCCCTTTCCCATTAAGAGTCCCTTCTGGGGTACCCTGCCCTACCCAGTGCCTACTCACCGAGGCCATTTCTGTGAAGATATACTGACTTCCAAGGTAAGCGCAGGCAAACGCAGCTACCACCGTGACAATGAAGTTGAAGATGGTGATGACTAGAGCCTTCACTGACCTCACTTTGAGGAGGAGCCCAGAGAAGAAATCTTTAGGTCAATGTCCTCTAGGGGCCCCTCTGATCTCATGGCTACCTCCCGCATTAACTGGGATCCTCTCAGAGCATGCTCGAAAAGTGTGATGGTTAAAGTTATGCATCAACTTGGCAGGGCCCCGATTCTCAGTGATTTGGCAGATGTTATGTAATCATTCTCCTTTTTGTGGTCTGGTGTGACTGCCGAATCAGTTGAAAGGGGAGTTTTCTTGGGGGTGTGACTTGCACCCAACATATATGGCTGTTCTGGAAAAACACTCTCTCTTGACTGTATTCACCTCTTCATCCTGACCTCCAGTTCTTGGGCTATGAGCTAGCTGCCTGCTGCCCAACCTGCATATTTTTGGGTTTGCCATCCCCTGCAACCACATGAGTCAGGAGAAACCTCCAACCAGCAGTTGACCCATGGATTGAGATTTGCAAGCCTCCACTACTATGTGATCTATTTCTTTGATATAAAGCTTTCTCTATGTACTTATAGATACACTTCACTGGGTTTGCTTCTCTAGAGAAGCCAGACTAAGTTTCAACCTAGAACACTGGGGTAGGAGGAGTGCCATGATGCATCCCAGGGAGAGGTTTTAGCATGCTGGTTTCCTAAGCCTCACCTTGCTTTCCTAGGTCACTGAGAGTCCCACCATGCCTTGAATCCTGTTGAAAAGGAAAAGCAAAGGATTTTCAAATGGAAGCACACAGGCAGCCCCCTAAACACTCATTTGCCACTTGTCAGTTTGGCTCAGCTCTCTCTATTCCCTTACACATTCGCTGTGTCTTTTCCATGGATTATTTTTTTCTAGAACCAACCTGTCTCTTTTCTGGACCACAGAAAGGACATAAGCTCCAGTAACCATCTCCCCTTCTCCTGTTCTAGGGAAGGAGCATGCCAAAGGACAGTAGGGAGCCCTGTCAAAGAAAGGCTCCAAGATTCGCCTGCCTTTCCTCCAACCTCACCTCTATAACTATTATGAATCAGTCACCATTTGAGTGAATTGTACATATACTTGGTAAATAAGTAGCACAGAGTGGCTATGAACTCTGAGTAGTATTAAGTTTCATGGTTGTTTTTTTTTCCTTTCTGTACCTTTTCCCAGTGTAGAGCTGCCCTTACCTGGCAGGTGACATTACGTGTGATCCGCTTATATTCCTCATTGGCCAGCTGTATCTTAATCTTCTCCAACCGGGCAACTAACTCTGGGTTCTGGGGCAGAAAAATAAAATGAGACAAGTTATGTTTTCAGCTTGCTAGAAAGTATGTCATAATCATTGGTTTCAAGAGGCAAAGGGCTAAGGGTCGGAAAACCCATGTATCAGGTCTTCCTTCATGGAAGCTGTCAATCATGGAGGACAATTATCTATTTTCCCCCATCCCAGCTCCCAAGACCATAAAAGGCAAAGTTCTGAATTCAAAACTTAATTTGTAAAATCAAATATCATGACTAAGTTCAATTCAGCCATACCCATTCTCACAAACAAGTTTCTTACATACCCGGGGAGGCTTCACAACTTCTGGGAGATAAAATTCACTGCCTTCCAGGAGCTCATGAAGATAGAGCGTGGAATCTGGGAATAAAAGGTTTCCACAACACAGTGATCCAGAGAGCTGAGGCTGAGGGATTTAGATCAGAGAAGGCTCTAATCCTGCTATTCTTTCTACCGAAATAAAACGCAGTATCAATCCTTCTCTAGGATCATTTTTATTTGAGAAGAATCTAGGACAATTCCACATCAGCCTCTCCTGGTGCTCTGACTGTCATAACTAATTTGTAAGTCATTTATATTTGCCTTTGACTTAGGTTACTTCTATGGCCACACAGATCTTCCCTAAATAGTTTAGGTCACAGTGATGTCAAGTACACAGGACACTGGACTAAAGATCTTAGATACCAGTTTGTCCTACTTCCTCCCTTACAGACAAAGAAACTGAGGCCTCGGTATGGAAATGACTATTCCAAGGGAAGTTAGTGGCAGAATTAGGACAAGAGCTCAGATGCTACTCCCAGTCCAGACATTTCTGCATGGCTTGCTTCATCCCCTCTTTAAACACAAACACACAAAATCAGAGAATAACAAAGAATTGGCCACTCTTCCTTTTGAGATGAAAAGAAATCCAAATTCCCAAGCAAGACAAATTCACTATGCTACAGTAGTTCCTAAGGGAACAAGTTCACTATGCTACGGCCTGAGGGGAAGAAACTGATCCTGTGAGGTGATAAATTCAGAGGGGACTTGTAGAGTTTATGAGGTGACTCTGATGGTGAGGTGATTGTTCCGGGGGCGAAAGTGAGTGACGTAAAACGATCTCAAGAAACTTTGGAAACAAGGAGGCGATCTAGGACTGGAGGCTGGGGCTCACCCCTTTTTCTCAGGTGCTGGTGCAGATCCCTGATCAGACGGAAGGGAACCAGGCGTCGGGGACTACTATCACCGCTCTGGTGTTGCTTCTCCAGCGCGGCCTCAAGTTCGGCCCGCAGCTTCCGGGGCAGCTTTTCTGCCTCTAGCTCCCCGCCAGGGCCTAAAGCGCTAATCAACCTTGGGCCAGGCACCAAAGAAGACGCCATGTCTATGCGACTCTGTGGTCACGTGACCACCCCCAAACCGGGACTTCCGTCTGCCGTGCGCCGGAAGTACCACAGAGCTCGCGGGGCGAGGCGAAACCGGGCCGAGGCCCAAGGGGGCGTGGCGCGGCGCGGCGCGGGGCAGTGTGGGGCGGGGGCGGAACGCAGCCCTGTCGCGGGTCGCACCCTGTGTCAGCAAGCGGAGTGTGTGCTCTGGCGGGACATGGCGGGCTGTGCAGCCCGACGGGCCCTGACCGTGGGCAGCCGCTGGTGGTCCCGGTCACTGACCGGGGCTCGGGGGTCGAGGCCGCTCTGTGCGGCGGGTGGAGCTGGGGCCTTCCCGCCAGCGGCAAACACGACGACACGGAGGCACCTCTCGTCCCGGTGAGGGACGGAGCGAAGGGGCGAAGGGACCTGGCCTGGAGCCCAGGGAGCCGTGTTCCCGGCCCATGAGGAGGCCAGGAGGCCGGGCCTGTACCAGGCTGGCTAAGGGAGATTGCAGTGTGACCCTGGAGAGGGATCCAAGCAGGGCACCGTCCTGCTGCGCCTGGGATGTGTGCCAGCAAAGAGGGGAGCGTGGCCCAGAGCCCTGGACTGTACAGTAGCTGGAGAGATTCTGTGGTGTCTGGCTCTGAGGGAGGACAGGCAATTCCCAGAGAGAATTCTGGCTCCCCAGCTGGAGGTCCCCGAGCACTGCTGTTAGTGGACAGCCTTTTAACTCAGCCTAGGATTTTCAATGCGGGCTCCCGCCCTTACAGCGGGTCAAGAGAAAAGATTTTGGACCTGGGTTCTGCGTAGATTCCAGGTTTCAGTGAGATACCTGACTTGGAAAGGAGAGTTGAGTCCTTAGTGATGGTGTGAACCGTTGTGTCTGGGGATGAGACAGGCTGATCAGATAGGGCCCAGAGGATCACGAGGAAGGAAGCATAAAGTTCACATCTCCAGATTTGTAAGAATTAGAGTGCTTTCAAGGCCCTCTGGAAGAACAGTCTTGTCCAGAAAGGTGACAGACTTGAACTTTCAATGGTTGAGTGTAGAAACATTGGAGAGGGATGATAACTCTTTGCGATTTAAGACCCGTGTGAAAATTGATGTAAATTTGAACAAAACTGCCTTGAGAGGCTATTAGGGTATACAACAGGAAATCTAGAGATGATTAAGCCCTTCAAGGGCAGGGTGATGGCTACAGTTTAGAAGGGGAAAGGAGATAGAATTATGATATGGAACAGGTAGTTACTGAGCACTTCAATTACACTAGACTGAGGGGAGCACAGGCTAATCAGACAAAGTCATTGTCCCCAGGGAACTTAGAGTCCCTAATGGAGATACTGCATGGACCCAAATAACTGGAATGCAAGGTAGGGGGTACAGAAGAATGGGTCTGGAAGCAATGCAGGCAACGGGTACATTTAAATAGGGCATGCTAGGAGGAATGCTGAGCTTGTAGAGAGAGGTGATCTGGGAGCAGTTACAACACAGAGCTTGGGCCTCTACAGAGGGAAGCAGAAGCTCTGTGGTATGGACCAGCAGGCCCTTCTCTGCTCTCATTGCTTCAGCTCTGCAGCATCCTACTAGTTCTTTCTGATGAACAAATGCCATTACCATCCCAGCTTTTCAGTTGCTTCTTTTCCTTCCTAATCAGAAACCGACCGGAGGGCAAAGTTTTGGAGACAGTCGGTGTGTTTGAGGTGCCAAAACAGAATGGAAAATATGAGACTGGACAGGTGAGTGCTGGGCTGAGTCATCTTTCATTTTCATAGTCTTCCCTGCTTCTTCAAGGGAGCTGGGCCTGAAAGTTGAGGGGTTTTGCCTTGGTGTTTGGTGCCAGACCACTTTTAAGATGGGTTTTGAGTTCCTGGATTTGGCATGTCATTGGGTTCTCTTCCCGTTACTGTGCCCAGGGCTAGTTTGGACGATAGTAAAGAAGGAACCCAGTTGATGCAGACCCCTCGCGTGTAGGAAAGACAGTAGGGGGAGGTTTCAGAAAAGCCAAGTCTAATCATAACTGAACTGGTTGTATTGTGGAAGGGAACTCTGGGTGTGAGATGCTTTGTGTCAGCTTCGTGCTGCTTGGCTGAGATAGATTCAGGCTCTTTGTAGATACAGATGACTTGTTAATTTTAACTATTTGGGGGGGGGGACAGTGGTATGCTTACATGAGGAATCTTGGTGCACTGTGAGTAAATGCACTGGACTGTAAAGTCGGTTTGAACTGCAAAGTTGGCAGTTCATGCTCACCAGTCACTCCTCAGAAACCCTGTACTGGGTCGCTATGGGTCAGACCCTACTCGACAGCACTTAACACCAACATGCTTACATGAAGGATCTTGGTGTGGTGCTGTGAGTTAATGTGCTAGACTGTAAGGTTGGTTTGAACCCCAGGGTCAATGGTTCAAGCTCACCAACTGCTCCTCAGAAATCCTATACAGGGTTGCTATGAGACGGTACTTAACTACAACATCATGCTTACGTGATTCCTTGGGGTTCAATCAGAAAGCAAGGTAGACATAGTTTATAGTCTAGAAAAGAGTAAAGAGATGCAAACAGGCAATGGCCCTACACGGTGCTGAGTGGAGGAGGGTTAGGTCTTGGAAGGCTTCCTAAGGGAAGTGATGCCTAAGCTGGACACGAGGAGAGCCAGATGAAGCAGGACCCAAGGGACAGTTGGTCTGGGTGGATCACAGACTTCAAGGGGGAGAGTGGGATGAGGTTAAAGTAGAGTTGTTGCCACCTGTGCTGCTTGGTGGGCCAGGTGCGGAATGGATTTGACAGACAGTAGATTCACTGCAGTAGCCTTTTTCTCCCAGCTTTTTCTTCACAGTGTTTTTGGCTACCGAGGTGTCGTCCTGTTTCCCTGGCAGGCTAGACTGTACGACCGGGATGTGGCTTCTGCAGCTCCAGAAAAGTAAGCTTTCCTTTTTCTGTTCCTGACAGTCCCCTCAGGAGGTGGCCTGATGAGGCCTAAAGGGATGGCAGGGATGCCTGCAGACAGCATCCTTCTGGGCCTTGTTCTGGCACAGCAATATCCATGGAGACAGAAATGTTTTGAATGCCAGGAACAGACCTAAGCATGAGGCCCCTTCAGGCCTCCCTAACATACTCCCCCAGCTCCTTCAATTTTCTCTATTGTAAACATCCCAGAGAGCATTGGAGTGTCCAGTCTTTTTTTTTTTTTTTTTGACTTTTTATTGTGAATTGATTGAAAGTTAACAGACAAGATCATCAGCTTTATATTCAACAAATTATTTGCTTTGTTTCATCTCAATGATTACAATCCCCTCCCTGCAACAACAGTTATCCTACTTCCTCTCTGTGACTTCCCTTTACATCTCATATTTCACAAATGAACAAAGCAAACATATTTGATGTAAACATACAAAACAAAAAATATATATATTCATTGACGTGTCCTAAGGGCATACTCTGCAAGCCAACCTCCTGCCCACAGGCACACAGCCTTACTCAGTCCATGGGCTGAGAACCCACAGGTGTTCTATCTCCATGTCATCACTTCTGCCACCATTTTTTCTGTTGCCGCTTTTCTAGGTAGGAGCTCATGCTCTTCCTTCTTGATGGTCCTGGGATCGTCTGTTCCTGAAATGAAAGATTAACTACTCCCACCTTTTAGTTACACACCATCTTCATTTACTCTGGGACAATCACAATTAATCCTGCCAATAATTACTCACAATTGAATCATAAAATTCTATCCCCACCATCCCCTCTCACCTTATACCAGATCCATCTGGAAAAGAGGAAAACTATTCAGTGGGGATTCTACTTTACTCCCCTCATTCTCAAACTAAGCACACTCATGAAAGTTTGTAAGCCAGCCACTTTGTGCCTTTATACACCCCAATTTTTGATAGCCAGTGTCTAGATTGCCTGTCCCTATTAACCCAGTGCACTGAGGAAGCAAACTTGTTCCTTGATATGAAGAATCTTTCCATTCCGGTTGGAATTTGAGCAACTACATCCATAAACCAAGGTCTAGTTTATCAAATTGTAGCAATTTACACTTACAGTATCAGCCATCTTTATCTTCATCCGGTTGAATTCTGGTCAGCTAGCCATCCAAGCTAGGTCATGTAGGTACTAGTTGCAAGTTTGGGAGTTAACACACGCCTCCCTGCACTTCAGACACTTCACTCTCAGCTCTAGCTCCCAGTGGCTAGGTCAGTGCCCATAGAATCAGGAGTTCACACATCTCCCTAAACTTCAAACCAGCCAGGACTTCCTTCTGTCTCTCATCACGAAGTCAATGGGTGTCAATGAAACATGGCTCAAATCAGCCCATGTCTTCATTGCTGCATTCCTCCTATTTCCACTCACAAGTAGACCCAGATGGTCACCAGTGAGCTTACTAGACGGTTTGTGAGTTCCCTTTGAGTTTCAGTCTTGGTAGAGGGTTTTCCCTGATGGGCTGACTTTTCTTCCCTTGATGCCACCAAAGCAAACATCTTGCTTGATATTCTAACAGCCAAACAGTCTGTTTTTTTTTTGTACAGGTGTATCTTTCAGTAAGATTCTTCTGTTCTCCCAGCAGTTCTGGGTTGGTCTGCATGTCTTTTCAAGTGGGAATGTCCCAACTTAGATGGTTCTGGATGGAGATCAGGATTCTACCTGAGGCCCCATACTCTATAAAGACTAAACAAAAGCTTATTTCCACGGGCAAATTCTAATTCCCCTTTTAGCAAATCCAGTCATTTACAGGCTGAAGACGGGCTAACAAACTTTCTGTAATCATAATTCCCAATATTCATTTCTATCACACTTAAATGTCTTTTTTTTTTACAATAGTAGGCAGGGGAAACCAATATCCACACAACAGTCAAACACCTAAACATTTATTCACCTCCTTTACCCATTCAGACTATGTCTCAATCTCTGTATCACAGACCGCTGTTGTTCCAAGGTTGGGACCAATCTTCTTAATGTCAACTAGAATCTTTTCCTTACTTTAATCATCACTGGGAGGGTGCCATGGAGTCGGTTCTGACTCATAGTGACCCTGTATAGGGTTTCTGAGGCTGTACATCTTTACGGGAACAGAAAGCCTCATATTTCTCCCGTGGCTGGTAGTTTCGAACTTCTGACCTTGAGGTTAGTAGCCCGATTTGTAACCCCTATGCTACCAGAGCTCCTTATATCGTCACTAGACTACATTAAAAAAAAAAAGTTCAGCTTCATTAAACGCTCATGGAAAAGCCCAGGGATGTGAGAAGAGTGGGCTACTTTAGGCTCAGGGACTGAGGCAGCAATTTGATTTTCTCAACCTGGCCTCGTCTCCAAGAGGCATCCAGAGAGTAAGACAGATAGGGACTGTGCTATGGTTTCTGTGTGCTCCACTGTTGGCCCCTGACAGACAGCAGCTGGGCTGGGTATTGCTGAGCAGGTCCCCAGGTGGTGTTTAGGGTTAGAAGTTGGTAGGGAGTAGTTTTCCTTTCTCTTGGGGTGATATTGGGCTTTTCCCACTCACAGAGCAGAGAACCCTGCTGGCCATGGCTCCAAGGAAGTTAAAGGCAAAACCCACACTTACTATCAGGTGCTGATCGATGCCCGAGACTGTCCACATATAGTAAGTAAGCAAATTGCTTTGGCCTGGCTTTCCTGTTTAAGGGAAAGACCTGAATCCTGGTGGGGGTGAAGGGAGGAAGAAGGGGTCAAACAGAGCCCAGAATAGTCCTTGGGGCTAGACAATGGCCAAGAAAATCCCTGACTCATTTCTTGCCTTAGTCCCAGAGATCTCAGACAGAAGCTGTGACTTTCCTAGCTAACCATGATGACAGCCGGGCCCTCTATGCTATCCCAGGTGAGTGGTGAGCCTCTAGGTGGGGTCTCTTGATGAGGGATCTGGTGGATCTTAGACAAAGGATTCTGATGCATTTCTGATATCCTTTCAGAAATCATAGATGGGAGGGATCATAGATGCTAAGAAGAAGCTGACCAGGATTGTTTGTTTCTTTCCCTCCCATTCCTCTTCTCTGCTGTGTGAGTTTCACAAGCCTCTTTGCCTCTCTGTGCCAGGCCTGGACTATGTCAGCCATGAAGACATCCTCCCGTATACCTCCACTGATCAGGTTCCCATCCAACACGAGCTCTTTGAAAGATTTCTTCTCTACGACCAGACAAAAGGTAATCTGGGATGACAAGTTCTTCAAAGAAAGTCTCATAGAAGTAGTTTCAAAGCTCTGTACCCACAGCTATAGTCAAGCCTCCCACTCCACCTATCGGGTAGATGGCTATTATCCCTTCTATCTGATAAGTTAGAAACGAAAGTTCAGGGATGATGAGAAGTGAGCCAAGCTAGATAGATAGTGTCAGAGCAAACTCTAAAAACCAGGGCTCTGAATTCCTGGTCCAGTTCCCTTCCTGCAGAGTCATAGTACTGCCTTGGGGCTTATTCTGGTGGGCAGCTCTTTGTCTTCGTCTGACCTGTGCTTTTGCTTCATGTCTGGGTATCCTTTGGCCTGGGCCTCCTCTGAAGGGGCAGTTGGAGAGTACCCCACATGAGGAGCCTGAGTGCTGCCAAGGCCTGCTCTCTGACCTGGACTGATCAGTCATCTCTTACCCCAGCGCCCCCTTTTGTGGCTCGGGAGACACTACGGGCCTGGCAGGAGAAGAATCACCCCTGGCTGGAGCTCTCTGATGTCCACCGTGAAACAACCGAGAACATCCGCGTCACTGTCATCCCCTTCTACATGGGCATGAGGGTATGTGCCCAGCCCGGCCCCTCCCTTCTGGGCTAGGACCGCTGTGATTTCTGGGTGGTTCTGCTCCCAAATACTGCGTGTGTTGGGTGGGGGTTGAGAAGCCTCTTGACATTAAGACTCAAAGGAGGGACAAACACAGGTACAGATGCCTCTCTGGGATCCTGGCAGGACTCTTCACTTCTTTCATTCTGGTTCAAAGGAAGCCATGCTTATATAGGATCTACAAATACTTGTTTAAATCCAAGTAGACTGGATTTCACATTTCTTGCCTGGCTGTCAGTTAGGCCCAGGGGATACATATATAAAAATGAAACAGTGTTCATGCTCTCCTGGAACTCATGGTAGTAGGGGAGACCAACCTACAACATACTAAGGATTATAATAAGGGAAGGCTGTGTGGGGCAGAGAGGTGAGGAGCGAGCCCTACAGGAGGCCTCAGTTGGCGTCCAGCTGTGTTGGTGAACTTGGCAGGATGAGGAGGCTGCCCCCTGTGGGCTGTGGGCATACTTCAGTTGGCACCATCAGCCCACAGGTGCTGGCAGCTTTTCTTGGTCTCTATAGCCTCCCTGGACTAAAGCTCCATTAGAGAGAGTTGACTGGGACAGACTTGGCTGTGTTCTCTGGGACTTAAAGGTCTCTGTGTTTTCCCCTAGGAAGCCCAGAACTCCCACGTCTACTGGGTGAGTGAGTGTCTCCCTCAGGCCGGGGTGGGAGAGGGGAAGGCAGTGCTGGTGTTAGCTTTGTTGCCTTTTGCTTTCCACGGGATTCTGAGTGGGTGAGCCAGGGGCTAGTTCTTCTCAGACCTGAACTCCTCTCCCCCTCACCCCACCCCACAGTGGCGCTACTGTATCCGCTTGGAGAACCTCGACAGTGATGTGGTCCAGCTCCGGGAGCGGCACTGGAGAATATTCAGTCTGTCTGGCACCTTGGAGACAGTGCGAGGCCGAGGGGTGGTGGGCAGGGTGAGCACTGCCAGCCCAGTGCTGGTCCTGCCCAGCAGGGTTTGGAGTTTGCTAGTCTGGGTGCAAATTCTGGCTATTATTTGCAGCTGCATCATTTGGGGCAAGATGTTTAATCAGACTAAAATAGAGATCATACCTATTAACCTTTTGATTGCTGCTGATGCTGCTATGTGCTGTGGAGTCAGTTCCAACTCATAGCGACCCGATAAAGGGTTTCTGAGGCTGTACATCTTTATGGGAACAGAAAGCCTCATCTTTCTCCTGCGTATCAGCTGGTGGATTCAAAATGTTGACCTTGCAGTTAGCAGCCTAGCTCATAACTATGCTGTGATTGCTAGGATTAGCAAAGGTCTGCAGGGCTTACAGGAGAATTGCTGGAACTTCAGCACTGGACAGTGTCCCCTTTCCCTGATGGGCACTGGAATGGGCTTAAGAAGAGTAGGTCCTCGAATATCTTTGCTCAGTTCCCCAGACATTCAATCTGAGATGATCTTTCCCAGAAGCAGACTAAATGACCTGTGGTGACTGGGCCGTCCTGTGGGAGTGCTCTAGAGTGCCTGGCTGAGGTGGTGCTGTGGCCCCTGGGAGGCAGGGAATGTAAGCCTGGGACTTGGCCCAACCCATTCTCCCTAAACCCTTGCAGGAACCAGTGTTATCTAAGGAGCAGCCCGCATTCCAATACAGTAGCCACGTCTCCCTGCAGGCTTCCAGTGGGCACATGTGGTAAGTGAGCATGTGCTGGGCAGGGCAGCTCAACTCCACAGATGTGAACAAAATGAGAACGGGTTACACATTTCTCCTCAAAGCTTGGGGCTAACTTTGGGCTAACTTAAATCTTGTGGTGGGGCCTTGTTTGCTGTTCACTGCTGTATGGGATTTTTTTGTTGTTTTTAATAACTTAACTACCTGTTTTCCAGTTTTCTACAATTTGTAGACCAATAGCTTAGGCCAAAGAAAGTTGGTGCCAGGTTGCTGCAGAGTTGTCCCTGTAGTTGGGATTTTCCCCTAGAGTTTCACTCCTTAGCCCGGAAGTTCAGTCATGCAGCTTTATTCAGTGAGCCTCTTCTTCAGGGCCAGACCAGGGTAGTGGTTTCTTCTCTTCATGTAGGGCTGGGAGGGGCTGTTAAGCTCTTGCTGTTATTGGGTCTCTGGACTAGTGCTACCCTTGTCAGGAGCCCAGTAGAAGCAAGCCAGGCCTGCCTCATCCTGTTTGTGGTTCGAGCCGAAGCCATGGGGCTTCTGAGATCCCCAGGAATCTCAGTTTGACCCCTGTTAAACCAGCTCCTCTCTGACCTTCAGGGGCACCTTCCGCTTTGAGAGACCTGATGGCTCCCACTTTGATGTCCGGATCCCTCCTTTCTCCCTGGAAAGCAATAAAGATGAGAAGACACCGCCCTCAGGCCTTCACTGGTAGGCCCAGGCTTGGCCCTTGGAAAGAGAGCCCTCATCCCACAGTTGCTGCAGAACTCTTCTCTCTCCTCATCACGAGCCACAGTGGGTGTCATCATCATTTGCACCATATGTGAGTTTTTGTGGGGAGGTAGCATTTCTCCAGAAGATTCACATAGGACTTCTCCGAGACTGGCATCCCTATAAGCTCCGCCTACACTGTGTTCCGTAACCTTCCCACCAGGAACTTTTTGTTTAGCTGCCACAGGCTTGGAGGAATCTTTGCTGGTGGTTTGGTCAATAAACCAGTGTACACCTGGCCATCCTAGCCATTTGTTCCCAGGTCTCAGGCTCCCCTTCTGACCCTTCTAGGGACCTGTCGGTTGACTGGACGACTTCCAAGGTCACTGTGCCTCACCGGGTGGGCTGCACTCTTACCCTGTTAAGTACATAGGCAGATGCCAGCATCAGGGTCAGAGTGGCCTGGCTTTCAGCAGCACATCTCTGGCTTGCTAACCTGGAGAAGAGCAAAGTCAGTCAGGTCTGACTCTGAGCAAGCAAGAGTCTGCCAAGCACCCAAACCATGAGGCTGCGATTCAGCTGAGGAGCGCTTTAGGTCTGTATGGTGACAGTCATACTACCTTCTGAGCTGCTCTTCATCTCCAAGGGCCAGATGGGAGATGGGTTACAAAGTTCTAGGAACAGGGCAGGGATGTGTAAAGTAGGATTGAGGGTGTCCTGCCTCTTGGCTAGTGTGGTGACTAAGAGGTAGTTTTATTCTAGAATGAATAGTAAACCTCAGTTCCAGCCCTTGCTAGTATTGTCCTTAGCCCTCCACCAGGGGGAGCTTGGGTTTCTGGGCAACTGAAACGGGTTGGGTCCTCTGACCAGATGAAGAGTACATGAATGAAGCCCCCACACGCACTGTCCACACAGTTCTCTACCACTGCAGTTAACACAATTTTATTAGAAGTTAGTGTTTGCTTCCATGACCTGTGCTGATCCAGGAAGGATTTCAGTGACATGATAAAGGAGAGTCTTTGTGCCCAGATCTGCACTGTCTTCTGGTAGACCTTGATCAGACACCAAATTCTACAAAATCCAATGCTGGTAAGTGTTGATAGCAGGCTTCTGGTTTTCTCATCAACTGACAAGAAAGCTTGACCTACATCCACATTTTTTACTCTTTTGGGCTGTTGGGGGTGAAAATTTCAGTTATGAGCTGCTTTCTGAATGGGGCTGGGAAACCTTTGAAAAAAATTCCCCAAACCTTTAAGTCACAAAGTATAGTCAAAGAAGCTAAAAATCACTAAAAATTCAAAGTCTGATTAAAGAAGCTAAGATCACGTAAATGAAATAGTGTTACGTGTTTTTCCTAAGACCAGGGAGAGAGTTTCTATACATGAATGGAAGTGCCCAGAGTTCCAGACTTTCCCTGCTGAGAGCTGAGGGGAGCTGCATGTCCGAGCCATAAGCACTGGCTGGAGGGATGGAGAGGTCAAAGGAATAGCTTTAGACTTTGAGCATTAAAGGACTTCCAAGAAGTCAGCTGAGGAAATGGGCTGAAACATTCCAGTCGCTGTGGGAAAGCCACAAAGTCAAAGCCTTAACTGGCTGAAGAAATGGATTTGTCTTTGTGCGATTATCCCAGTGAGGGCTAGTAGCTGGTCACCAAGGTGCCTGGCCTGAGTCCCAAAGCCACTTATACATTCAAGACTGACTGCAATGCTGGTTTAAAGTCACATTCCCGTCCGTATTTCAGTCAGTTCAGGTATTGTGAGAGTCCACTAACCTATGGCTTACCATTTGCCCATAGGCTCCATGGGTCAGTCACGAGCACCTGTTTAGCTATAGTGAAAATAGTCACCCAAGTCACAATCAAAGGCTAGCCGAAGTCAGGAGGGAGAAGCTTGATCACCTATGTCCTGAGTGCCTGCGATGCTCTGCTAGGCTAGTTAGTTGTATAGCTCTCATTCCTTTGGAAAAGCATTCCAAGAAGCTGCCTTCCAAGGGTTAGGCCAAAGGGAATGAAAACCAAGGTCCTGAAGAACTTGCTATTGTTTAGAACCTCCAACAAGTAAAAGAAAGGCGACCTTCAAAGGGCTGGGGCTACTCAGCACTTGGTAGAAGCTCATCCCCAGCCAGGACACAAAGCCAACAGCATGGACCAAGGGAGGTAGGGCTAAACACATGCCCTTCTATGCAGGGTGTGCTGGCTGTGGGCCCACTGATGGACAACCCCTGCACTGTGCCATATGCAGTGCCCGTGGGCCCTGCAATCTTCCTGCTGCAGCTTATGGCCCTTGCAGTGGCTCTTTGGTTTTAGTGAGGACAGTGTGCCTCGGGGCCCAGTTACTCAGAGACAAAAGAATCAAATCAGTGCAGTCATGTGGATGTACAATGTGTGGTTAAAACGGTTTGTCACAGGGATTCTATTAGGACCACAGGCCCCAACTTCGACATCCTTCCTGGGGGTTTCTAGGCTGCTTGCTGGGTTAGCCTGGCAAAGCCAAAACCGGTCAGTATTTATTGCTTCCTCTTTATCCCTCCCTGAGGCTGAGTCTGCAGGGAAGATGGGTTGAGGGTCAGAAAAAGAGGACACATATCAGAGCAAATGCAAATCTGAATAAAAAGTACAAAGTGCTTTAAACAAACAGACCCCAAAGGCCTCAGAAGGGCCAAGAGTTGTATCTGACCAGGGCCATGGCACCCTGGCGAGTGGCTGAATGCCCAGTCTCTTCATTATTAGACTTTAACTATTCACTCTCTGGGTTAATTAAAAATAAAAAACAAATAACCAAGCTTGTGCTTAAACACCATAGGAGAAAAGAAGCCCCATCCTCTGTAAGAAACTGGGCCTCCACAGCACCAGAAGCCGCCTTTCCCACAGAATGAGCCCTCATTCTTCACGGGCTCAGCTAAGGCCTAAGGGGTAGCCCTTCAGCATGGGAAAGGCTGCTCAGCAAAGGGTAAGGGGAATATTCTTAGCAGGAGGTGGGTGACACAGTCCCTTCAACAGTGGGGCTTCTGCAGGGGACAGTACTCAGGCCTCTGGAAGTGCTCAGGGAAGGGGGCAAAGGAATGTGGTCTCTGCTTTGCCCAGGCCTTCCAGCTTCCCTGGCAGGGCCTGTCGTGCCTCTGGGTGCTGGAGCAGCAACCCAGTCAGCAGCAGCCTGGGGCGGCCCATTCCCGATGAGGGTCTTGTCATTCCCGATGGGCAGATTGATGGCTGAGCTGCCGGTCATCGTAAGTGCTATAGCGCTTGACGTGGATGCGGCGAACCCGATCCCTCAGTTCAAAGGCCTCCTCGTCTTCACTGGGGGAAGCCTGCCTGTGGCTGCGGCTTGTGGCCTCCAACAAGGAGTTGTCAGGGACTCGGGGTGTCTCAAACAGTAGGACATTTAGTGTTTCCTCGTAGATTCGGGCCTCTGGGAATTCCACCTAGGGTGAGGGTGGCAAGAGGACTGAGTGAGTTTCATCCTGATAGGGTATGGCATGTCAGAACTGTCCACCCTGTACTGACTCCCCAGGTCTCACCAGATGGCTTCTCTTGAGGAAGGGCAGCTCTCCCCCTTAAGATATGATGAGATGTACTTGATGGCTGTAAGGGCTCAGAACACTAAGCCCCATCCCCTGGCCACATGCACAGAGGTTAGGGACTTGGGGTGTTTGTGGTCAGGCCTAGAAGGTATGAGACAGCTTCACCCCTTACCAGCTATGGAACTGTGGGCTTAGCTATTCTAGGCTTCATCTATGGAAAACGGTTACTATTCACCCCAGAGTTGTGAACACTGCATGAACCAGAAATTGTTTAGCAGAGAGCCAGACGTACACTCAATAAATAAATTTTAAAAAGCTGCTCTCATCAGTAGTTTTTCTGCCTTTTACTGTTTGACTGACCCGGTGTGTCCAACCCCCCATGATCAATCACGAGCGAAGAAAAGGGCTGGCAATGAAGAGACCAGAATACCAGTCTACCTCGCTATCTTATTAACATACGTCAGGTGAAGAGAATGGTTCTAGCACGGCCTGTCTCACAGGTGTGGTGTGATGGGCCAAAACAGTTCACAACAGGGAGAGCCCTTGGAAAGGTGACAGGCACTACCTGCTACTTCCACAGCTTCCAACCCCCAACCCCTAGTCCTCCCCTTCCCCATGAGACCTGCCCCCGACCCCTTGATGTGTCAGTGGAAATACCTGTGCCAATTGCCCCTCCCCTCTCCTCCCAAAGTAAAAGACAGGAAGCAAGACCACTGGCTCTACGTTCACTCCCTCCCTGACCCTCAGCAGACCCCTGAACTGAAGACACTTGTTGGCAATCTGAGGCTGAGGCGTTGCTCTGTGTTTAGCTCTTCACGCCCACACAACACTTCCCCACTGCAGGTGCTATTCCACCCAGGCAGCCTGAGTCCTTAACACACTCGTGGAAGAGTGGTGCATTCTGCTTGCTGGCTGGGAGAAAGGGGCTGGCAGAGATCATGACGCCATCACTTAGCAAAGGCTCATGTGCCCAGCTGCACTGTCAGTTGGCCAGGAACATCTGACTGTTGGGTCCCAGAGCAGAGATTTGAATTGCAGTTCACCTAATCAAAAGTCCTAGCAATTCCCTCTACACCACACTGCTGCTCTGGAGTTAACATGCTTCACTTACATGGTAATGAAAAAACCAAACCCACCACCACCAAGTCAATTCTGATTCACAGGGACCCTCTATAGGGTTTGAGACTGTAAATCTTTACCGAAACAGATAGTCTCATCTTTCTCCTGTGGAGTGAGTGATGGGTTTGAACTACAATCGAAAGCTACCCGGGCTCCTTCATTTTCATGATGTTAATTTAAGTGCCATCGAGTCAGTTCTGACTCACAGCGACCCTGTATAGGGTTTCTGAGGAGTGGCTGGTGAGTCTGAACCATTGATCTCACGGTTCAAACTGACCTTGTAGTCCAGTGCTTATCCTACAGTGTCACACCAGGATAGCTCCGTTAAATTCATACTAATCCCCATGTTTGCAAATGAGGAAACTGAGGCACAGATGTCTTCAATGGTTTATCCAAAGTCAGAAAACTGATAGATGGGGAAGCCAGAATTCAAACCTGAATTGGGCCAATTCTAAAGGCCTGGTCCTTCCCACCACACCAGACTGTTTCCAGCTGCTCAACAGCCCCTGTCTCTCAGCTGACAGGCACACACAATTCCTGTTCCATTCCCCAAACTCCTTTGTTTTGGCTTTTCTCCTTACCTGGTATCACACTACGTTTGGGAAAGTAAGAGAGCAACCTGCATACGCTTTTGCTCCTTGTGGTGAAAGGTGAGCTCTCCTAGATGCTGTGTGTCTGTCTGACTGGCCCATGAGAGAGAAGGCCCCCTACCTTGGTCTGCTTCTTTTCTGTGGCATACACGATGGAGGTGCAGCACACCTCTGCCAGCTTATGGCCCTGGCCATAGAATGACCAGCAGCAGATCTCATCACCAATGACGTCCTTGATGAAGAGCACACGGCCGTTGAAGCGCAGGGACAGCTTGTCAAACAGCTCGATGTTTTTCAGCAGGTGGTCATCAGAATTGCTGAAAATACCCAGGAAAGTTGCAGGCCTGGGACTGAGGGTCCATCACAAGGGAGGGTGCTAGGACAAGTGGGTTCTCCTGCCCCTTCCCGCCTTGCCAAAGTGATAAAAAGTCAGGATGCCAGGGGGACAGGAAAGGAAAGGGTCACTCACTGGGCCCCCTCTGGGTTTGGGGGCCTGTGAGGAAAAGGAGTTGAATTGGTGCAAGTTAAAGCAGAGAGAACGAAGATGTCAAGTCCAGAAGCAAAGAGGTATCGTACTGTTGAGGCAGGAAGTATTTCCTCCTTGCTGCAGGGGTGATGCTGACAGTGTATCTTCCACAGGGAGTCACTGGGGGTGGGGACTTGGGGACTCTGAGCCTGTATCCACCTGGGTGTGCCTAGCTGTGGCCTGCTGAGAGGATACTGAGGGGCAGGGGGAAACTCGCCCTGCTGCCAAGCAAGAGGGCTGGCTTAGGACTCCCACCCTACTGGCTGCCAGCATCTCTCCCCCAACTCCTGAGCTGATGTTGGGGAAACACTGGGCAGCTCTCTGACTTGATGTAGCTCAAAGCGGGGATAACATGTTGATCATCTACATCCCAGCCAAGGCCCTATACCATGTTCCAAGTGCCTTTTCCCGCCTTCGTGCAACCCATTCCTCAACACAGAGTATGCTGACTGCCAGAGGCGCAGACAGCTTCCCTCAGGCGCTGCCCACTTTCCACTTAGGCTGTTCACTCCCTCCCTGACCCCCAGCCCCCCAAAGCCCCTCTCTCCTCCCCTACCTGGTGTAGGAATACTTGTTGTTACTCCTGTTGTAGAGCAACTTCACCACAGGCTGTGAAAGAAGACAGGGTGAGGACAGGACCAGGGGCCTGGGAAGCCCTGTCCGCTGTCCTGAGACGCCGCAGTACCTTGGTGGAGGATTCGATGAGCTGCTCCTCCTCCTTCAGGGACGTGATGATGGGGATGTTGCACACAGGCTGGTAGGAGTCCTTCTTGTCCTGAGGGACACAGGGCACTTCTTTAGGGTCTTCTGCTTGCCAGGCTTAGCCCAGTACCCCAGGGACCACCAGAGCCTCTCTGCTATGGCCACCTCCTGCTTGGCGAGGGGAATCAGATAGTGGTCCAGAGCCACTAGCCACAGTTGGCTCCATTTTTAGGAACCCTCCAATCCAGGTTATCTAGGGATATAAACAAGCTAGCAGTAGGGCCTACTCACTTGCATGTAAGCTCACCTTACAACTGACCAGCTGTCAGGACCCCCTGCCTGGGAAACACCTGGCTGCATTTATATGGGTTTCCAACTCATCCACCACACTTGCCCCACAGTCTTCTAGAAACTTGTATCTTTGGAAGAGGGGATGACTCTTGACCTCATCAACGCACCCTAGGTCTGCCCCCGTACCTGCAAGGCACCCTGGCACGTGTTCACCAGCCCCTGAATGAGGTAATATTTTGCTTCCGCCATCAGTTCCTTGATCTCTTGCAGAGTTTGAGGGAGGGTGATGGTGTCGTCTCGGAGGTAATTCAAAATGGTGCCAAAGTGCTTTCCGCATCGGTCTATGAGGATCCAGCCTAGGGAGTCCAACCCAGAGAATTACTGATTGCTTCCAGCTGCCTCAGAACAGGCAGGGGGCAAAAGGTCACTGGATGGATCTGGTGGCAGGGGGCAAGACACGGAGTTACTTAAGCAGAAGCCCACACAGTGGTGACAGAAGTGGGCATAGAAGTGCCAGCTCTCAGGGCCATGGCTGGAACCAAGAACTGGCTCCCACTGTGGAAGACACCAGCCCTCAGGCTCTGCTGAGGCCCCAGAGGTCCAAGCCCAGGAGCACTCAGGTCTACCCACTAGCAACCCACAATCCACCAGGCCCTGCTTCCTTCCTGCCCACAGTCCAGGCCCTACAGGCCGAAGATGGTTCTTAGGACTCCAGTCCTATGATGATATAAAGCAAGTATGGCTCTTCTCCCTGGAAAAACACATAAACGTACACTGTACTATGTACAATTTCAAGGATTCTGAAGCTCGACCAAGGACTCCCATGAAGAAATCCTGTCAGAGGCGAGTTGTAATCACGATGTGTCAAATGTAAGGCTTTACACAGCCCCTGAAGTCACGCTTTTAGGGACTCATACTTCCTTGCGCCCCTGCTCACCTTCTTTGTCGGTCAGCACCTCCATGCGCCCACTGAACATGGCCTTGAGCATGGTGTCATGCCGGGTGAGTGTCCGCACAGTGGTGTAGTACAGGGAGCCACCCACATTGAGCTGGACATACTTGTTGCCCAGGCCTCCACCTTTGAAGCTGTTTAACTTGGGCTTAGCCCCTGAGGCTGGGCATAGACAAGTATCCCCCGACATCTCCCGCTGCAGGTAGATCACCACACGGCAGGAGGTAGGCTTGGAAGGCCCCGCCGTGGTGGAAGGCGTCACGGGAGAGTGGCCGGTGGAGGCCAGAGCCTCATACTCTCACTGCTGTGGGCAAGAAGACAGGAGTCAGTGATGCCTTCAAACCAGGAGAGGAAGACAGTAGAAACCTGACCAGCCAGCGATTCCCTCCTTGGTAAGTCCAAGCATTCCCTGGCAGAGGCCAACTCCCTGGGCAACAGTCAGAAAGATGTTCCTGCTGTATTTTACTGTCCCTGAAACCAGACCTGGAAGCACAGTCTCTTGGAGCCTGGCTCTGGTCACTTCACCCAGCACAACTCTGGATGGCACAAAAGACAAGCTAAGTCCTTGGAACTGGCCGGAGAGGGTCTGAGGGACAAATGGGCAAAGCTGAAGTCCTCATCCTGTGGAATCTACCAGTTAAGATTCCCAGTTATTGTCTGACTGGGAATCCAGCCTGCCCAGGAATTTCCCAGGAGCCAGAGCTGTGGACAGGATACATTTCCATTCTGCCAGATTCTATTCTCAACAGCAGACAGGTCCAGTGGGATCTGGTCTGAGAAAGGAAAGGTCAGGAGAGAAAGAAGGGGTGAGGCAGGTGGGAAGGAAGGAGGGGCCCTGGCTCCAGCGGGGGGCTTCTGACCTCCCTTTTTCTTGGCACCTGTCTTATTCCAAGTTCCTGAAATTGTCACTGTTTTTCAGGACTGATCAACTACAGGATGGCTAGTTTCTCTTTTTTTTCCTGAGAGGGGACACAGCCCCATCTCTTCCTTTCTTCCCTTCCAACTAGGAAAGGGCCAGAAAAGACCAGGTGATAAATCTACAAACAACTAAGGGACTTGAAAATCAGTATCTATCAGGAGCAAGGAAAGAAAAGGAGGGAAAACCCCACATGATTTAGATTCTCTCTATATTTTTTGTTTTCCAAAGAATCAATAAAGTTCCTTCCCTGAAGAATAAGATAGTGAACACTCATTGTTGGTGTGAAGTGCTGTTGAGTTGGTTCTGACTCACAGTGACTCTGTATAGTTTCTGAGAGCGGCTGGTGGGTTTGAACTGACAACCTTGTGGTTATCAGTCCGGAGCTTATACTACAGCACCACACCAGAATTCCATTCATTCTATGCAGATATTATTCTAGCATTGAATATATATTAGACCCCAAAGCCAAATCCATTACCGGAATGCAACTTGGACTCACTGTGATCCTAGGGGACAGAGTAGGACTTCCTCATCGAGTTTCCAAGGCTGCACATTTGTATGGAAACAGACGGTCACACCTTTCTCCTGTGAAGTGGCTGCTCAGGTCAAACCACCTTCTAGTTAGCAGCTGAGGGCTTAACTACTATGCCACCATTACTCCTTTATATTAGTTCATTTAATTAATAGCAAAACCAAATACCAATAATATCTCAGGCAGTACTGGAGGCACTCACTCATCTATGCCAAGAATTTAGAACACAGTTATCAGGCCGACTGATTGGAAGAGACCCGTATTTGTGCCCATTACAAAAAGAGGTGACCCAACAGAATGCGGAAATCATCGGACAATCTCTTTGATATCCCATGTGAGTAAAGTTTTACTAAAGGTAATACAGAAACGGCTGCAAGCATACACTGACAGAGAACTTTCAGAGGTTCAAGCTGGATTCAGAAGACGATGTGGAATGAGGGATATCATTGCTGATGTCCAACGGATCTGGGCTGAAAGCAGAGAATACCAGAAAGATGTTTACCTGTGCTTTATTGACTACGCAAAGGCTTTTGATTGTGTGGATCATGACAAGCTATGGATAACATTATGAAGTATAAGTATTCCTGAACACTTAATTGTGCTCATGAGGAATCTGTACCAAGAGGCAGTTGTTTGAACAGAACATAGAACACTGAATGGTTTAAAATAAAGAAAGGTGTGAGACAGGGTTGTATTCTTTCACCAACTGAGCAAATAATCAGAGAAGCTGGGCTATATGAAGAAAAATGTGGTATCAGGATTAGAGGGACTCATTAACAACCTGCCATATGCAGATGATACAACCTTGCTTGCTGAAAGTGAACAAGACAAAATATTTACTGATGAAGATCAAAGACCATAGTATGGATTGCATCTCAATGTAAAGAAAACAAAAATCCTCACCACTGGATCAATAAATAACATTCTTATCAACGGAGAAAAGATTGAAGTTGTCAAGGACTTCCTTCTTCTTAGATCAACTATCAACACTTCCAGAAGCAGCAGTCAAGAAATCAAACGATGTATTTCATTAGGCAAATCTGCTGCACAAGACTTTTTTTAAAGTGTTGAAGAGCAAAGATGTCAGCTTGAGGACTAAGGTGTGCCTGACCCAAGCCATGGTATTTTCAATAACCTCATATGCATGCGAAAGCTGGACAGTGAATAAGGAAGACCGTAGAAGAATTGATGCCTTTGAGTTGTGGTGTTGGAGGAGAATACTAAAAGTGCCATGGGCTGCCAAAAGAACAAACAGATCTGTGTTGGAAGAAGTGTAGTCAGAGTGCTCCTTGGAGGCCAGGATGGCCAAATTTTGTCTCTCATACTTAGGACATATTGTCAGGAGGGACCAGTCACTGGAAAAGGTTATCATGTTTGGTAAGGTGGAGGGTCAGAGAAAAAGAGGAAGACCCCCAGTGAGATGGATTGACAAAGTGGCAGCATCAATGGGCTAAAGCGTGGCAACAATTGTGAGGTTGTCCCAGGACCGGGCAGTGTTTCATTCTGTTGTACACAGGGTTGCTATGAATCGGTAATGACTCGATGGCACCTAACAACAACAAACAATATGCAATGGTGGTGGCTGTGTGCCATGGAGTCAGTGCCGACTCATTGAGACCCAGCACAGGGTTTCCAAGGCTGTAAATATTTACGGGAACAGAAAGCCTCATCTGTCTCTCATGGAACCTTGGTAGTTTCGAACTGCTGACCTTGAGATTAGCAGCCCTACTCATAACAAGTACACTACCAGAGCTCCTTAAGATAGGGATAGAGAAATGAAAAGACATTATCATTTTCTTCAAGGAGTTCAAAGAATGAGAGCATGGATCGTGCCTCTATTATGTGCCAGGTCTGAAGATACAGAAGACAACAAACAAGTTATGTCCTCATAGAGCTTACATGTTTGTGTGTGTGCAATTGATTTAAAAAATTTTAAATTAGGAAGCCATTTTAGAAAGTGTTAAATGCAATAAAGACAATAAAACAGTGATAAGGAAAACATGATCATTTAGATAAAGGTCCAGGAAACTCTTCTTTGGGAAAGTGACATTTACGCTAAAGTCTGAAAGAACATTTTAGATAGACAGCTAGAAAAAAGTTGTTGTTAAGTGCCACTGAGTCAGTTCCAACTTAGAGAGTCTATATAGGGTTTCTGAGGAGTGGCTAGTGGGTTTGAACTGCTGACTTTGTGTCTGTCCAAAGTTCATCCTACAGTGCCACACCAGAACTAACTGCAATGGGAATCCAATGAATGATTTGAAGCAGGGGAGTGATAGGATGCATTTTGAAAAGATTATTCTGACTGGGACATAGAGAAAAGATTGTAAGAATCCAAGAAAGGAGGTGGGATGATCAGAGGAAGTAGGAAGACAGAAGGAGGAAGTATCAAGATAACAGATGATGATGGCTTGGACTATCACAGAAACAATGTGAAATTGTTTCTCATTTTAATCCTCACAAGATGAGGGGTTCACAGTTGCTCATCGTCTTGTGTGAATGCAAAGCAGAGTGCTACCTTGGTTTCTGTTCACTGTTATGCTCTCCACACAGTGCTCAGCACAATGCATGAGTAGCTGAGGTATTTAGTCTTGGCTTTTTAGACTGAAGCTGTCCCAGAAAAGAGCCCCGGTATCATACTGGATTAGGAAATGGGCTGCTAACCAAAAGGTCAGTAGTTCAAATCTACCAGCTGTTTGGCAGAATAATGAGGCTTTCTGCTCCAGTAAAGATCTACAGCCTTGGAAACACTATGTTGGGTAGCTATGAGTTGGACCGGACTCTGTAGCACACAACCACCACCTCTATGGGAAGAATGTGCAAAGGGCCAGAGCAGGTGCTGTATAAAGTACTGCATTCCTCTGTAGGCTGGTCTGGGAGATTCTACCATTTGATTCAAGGATGGAACCTGTACGAGCTAAGCCTTTGTCCTCTGACTGTCCAATCAGTAACACTTAAATGGTACAAGCTCACTTTACTTCCCTAGCCCACCCCAAAGGAATAACCCAGCCCTTATCAGATTTTATTAAGGTTCTTATGCATTTTGTGTCTAGCCCAGATTTCCCCAGGGTCAAAGAAAGAACAAGCTAATGGAATTTGTCCATGAACTTTTTGAAGCCCCCTCAGACATGTTCTGCCAAAGCAAAGGAATTCACAGGCTAAGCTAGCCAACAGAGGAAGACAAGTCTTTGTTCAGAGCTAATCTATTCCTTTTCCCATAAAAGCAATTGCTTTGGGTCCCTGGATGACGTCAGCTCAGATTCCTTACAAATCAATGGGTTCCAGGCATCCTGTGGCAGGTAACGCCCAGAAACTAATTCCAGGGAGAAAGAAGTTTTCCCAGATGGCCTCAGTGCTCTTCCTTCCGGACTTTGTGTGTAGTTATTTGGGGACGCCTGGAGCTAGGGACGTATCTCACTCAGTGATGCTAAAGTGACCCTGTGCAGAAAAACAGCCGCCAAGAATAAGGGAGGAGAAGGCGGGGTCCTGGGGAAGAAGATATCTGTCACACCGGTGGGGAAAGTTAATTTTGGCTGGAAAGGGCGTCTCTAGCAGAAATCCTAGTTGTGAGTCTAAGCGTATATTCAAAGAGGCCTGGGGAAATTTAGTTAGATCCAGCCCAGTGTGGAGTCTTCCCCAGCTCGTATTCACTATCGACGAACCGAGCCTGGTTTTGACGCCCAGAAGAGGATTTGAGCTCTCCGTCCCAATACCAAGTGGGGCCCTCTTTGCTCCAACCCCAGGTCTCACCGTCCCCGGGGGCGCCTCTTCCTCCTCTCAGCTGGGTTTCAACCGACTCCGTGCAGCGTCTGGACTGTAGTCGACTGCCCGCCTGCAATCCCCGGGTGTGAGCTCACATCCTTCGTTCGCCGACTCCGCCCTGAGCTGCGGCCCACTCTCCAGCCGACGAGCCTGAAAGACTACAAGGCCCGGAATGCTCAGCATCCTAGCGTGGGGGTAGAGGGCGGAGCCCCTTCCTAGGTGAGATCAGAGCTATTTCCGGCAGCCTTGCCGGCGCAAAGACCTCTAGGTCTTGTAGGCAGTCATCCATACTCTCAAGCCTCTGTTTCCCAGCAAGCTCAGTGGGGTGGGAGGGTGTGTTTCCGGAGTCAGGCAGAGACGTCATGGGTAGACAGGTCCTGTAGCCGTGGCAGCGGCGGAGGCCGGCAGGCTGGCAGAGTATCACTGACCCGAGAGCGTAGCTGTCGAAGACATCAGTCTGGAACGCAGCGCGCCACCGTTACGTGGCCTGCAGGTAGGCCATGACTACCGGGTCAGGGAAGGCGGACTCGACTCGGTGCTCCCGAGGTTGGGGACAGAGTCGGGTGGCCCCGGGGCTAGATGAACCCCAACAGGCCCGCACCTTGAGGCAGTCCCAGGAGGCCAAAAGTGGGAATTCCGCCTGACTCTTTGGGAGTTGTCTTTATACCCAGTTTAGGCTTGGGGCTTTATGTGCGTTCACGGGAGCAGTGATCTTACTAGGAAACTGGTTCAGATTAGTTCGAGAAGTTTACAGCCAGCTCCATCACCCAGGTCTTCCAACTTTCTGCCCAGTGCCCCTTCCTTCACAACCACTGGGTGGGGCTTACTGTTGGGCCTGACTTAGCCCTGGGAGGGCGGGGTCGGGATCGGAGAGAGCTTCTCTGCCGGCATCCTCAGGATACTCAGGCTCAGAAGCCTTTTACCCTGTATACCTCGGGTTCCAGACACGTGTGTGTGTGTGTGTGTCTGCCATAGGCATTGGCAGAGAACTTGATGGATGACAGAACCTTCTCCATCTCATTCTATCTTCTCCAGCCACTTAGCTGACTCAAGTCCGATACTTGACAGTCATGCCTGACCCTGTCCATAATTCATCTTCCACTCTTAAACGTTCATTCAATCTATTGTCAAGTCCTGTAGATTCGACTTAGAAAACATCTCAAATCGGAACACTTGCGCTCATTTCCACGCCTGCAGTCTACTTCCTCGAGTACCAGTTATGCTTGGTGCTAGGGTTTACAGTGTTGGAAAGGTGGTGGTCTTCTCTTGTTCGCTGCATCCTGACCCAGAGGGGTACCTGGACATCTGTGCAAGCAGAACTCTACAGGACTGCCTTGTTTTTCCAGATCTCGGAAGTTTTCCACCTTTGACAAGGCACAGTCTTCTTAATCACTTTTTTATTGCTGGTTTTAGTGGTAAGTATTTGAGTTTTCCTTCTCTGATAGGTTTCCATCTTACATAGGTCCCTGCTTTCACAGGCCTTGTTGTATTTCTAAAATGCGAGTCTGAGTATGGCTCCTTGTAGAGAATCTGTTAAGATAAAATCCAAACTCATAACTTCATAACATGAAGTGGCTTTCAGCGACTTCATGGTCCAGCTCTAGCCTAATCTGGTTCCATTCTCCCTCTGCTCTGGCTCACAGGCTGCAGGCACAGTGACCTTCCAGTTCTTGTATGACTGCAAATTTCTTACAGCCTCAGATTCTTCCTTCTGCCTAGATCGCCTCCCTTTCCCCCTCACTTGATGGTTTTGGACATTCCTTCAGGTCTTAGCATAAGTGTCACTTTTTCAGAGAGGTCTGTGCTGACACCCCTTCTCCACATGAATTATGTCTTTCTGTTGCACATTCAGTGGCCCTGGTAGTGCAACAATTAAAGTGCTTGGCTGCTAACCAAAAAGTTGGTGTTCAAAGCCACCAACCACTCTGTGGGAGAAAGATTTGGCAGTGTGCTTCAATGAAGATTTAAAGCCTTAGAGACCCTGAGGAGTAGTTTTACTCTGTCCTAGCGGGCCCCTATAAGTCAGAATCCACTCAATGGCAGTCTTTGCCTTTAGGCTTTGGGCTACACCGTCACATATCACTATGGACTTTTCGTCATACTCTTATCACAAGTTGTGATTATTATCTAAGTATCTGTCCAGAGGTCAGGAAGTACAGCTCTGTGGTCACTACTTGATTCATAGAGCAAGAACTCAGTAGATATTTCTAAATGAATGTATGGTTCCTGGGAAGGAAATGGAAATTGAAGCAGATATTTGTTCCCTGACATTACTTGAAGTTTACTGGAGCAGCTGGCTTACTTAAACATTTAGTAGATTCTCAATACTTACACTATATATGAGAGAGTTTCAGAAAGTTCATGGGAAAATTCCATTACCTTTCTATTCCATTTTTCCACGAACTTTTTAAAAGTCCCCCTCGTATGCAAATGTAACAGGACAAGTAAGAAAACAAATTTTACAAAGCCTGGTTCTAAGGAATCTTGAATGATGAAAATATTTCAAAGGAAGATGCTGGCTCACACACTTTAGTGGATTCCAGTAAGCTCTGGGCCAGAATCACACACAGTCATACATAAGCTCTGGGCCATAGACATACATTAGTTGATCCACGCAGTTGGGTGGTTTGGTTTTGTCTTTTCCTTACTTTACATCTTTAAATTAGGTGTTGTTGTTAGGTGCTGACTCATAGGGACTCTATGCACAACACCACAAAACACTGCCTGGTCCTGTGCCATCCTCACAATTGTTGTTAAACTTTAGTCTATTGCTGCTGCCACTGTGCCAGTCCATCTGGTTGGGAGTCTTCCTCTTTTTTGCTGACTCCCCACTTTACCAAGCATGATGGCCTTCTCCAGGGACTGGTCCCTCCTGATATATGTCCGAAGTAGAAAAGACAAAGTCTCGCCATCCTGGATTCTAAGAAGCTTTCTGACTACTTCTTCCAGCATAGGTTTGTTTGTTCTTCTGGCAGTCAATAATCTCAGCACCATAACTCAAATGCATCAGTTCTTCTACGTTTGTTCTTCCTTAT